CTCCAATCTTCTTCAATATTTCCATCAGTTTCTTCCAGTTTACTCTATCAAAGGCTTTCTAACAATAAACTATCCAAGTGTAAAATTATATAAATCACTATACTCTCAGATATGCAACTACACACAGGTTTTAATCTACTCAAACTCATAAGATCAATAATGATTCCATAGTCATAATATGTAAAGAAGAATATACTGAGGCTTTGTATTAGGTGACTGACAAGAAAGTATTTATAGTTCATGAACAACAAATTAAGAGTCATTAAGATAAATAGTTCAATTGTATTTTGCGCATTCTTCAAAATCTCTAGCATGTTTAACCACGCTAAAAAGCCTCATTTTCAATGTTATGACAGACTATTGTTGATGTTCACAGGGTTCGTACTATCCACTTTAAAAGACAGGAACACCCCTACAAAAAAAATGCAAGTCAATAAATTTTCGGTGCAATTCAGGCGATAAGCGAATACGGAAAAACGACAAGTGAGATTTATCACAATGTGTTAAATAAGGTACTGCTAGGCATAAACTAAAACTTCCCTAGACGTTATTTAAGGAAAAGGTCAAACAAGGCAAATGGTGTTGACTTACTTTTCGTTCAAACTGACAGCATTCACTGCAGGACCAGTTTTGTGTGTGCATGCGGATCGCATGCTTAATTAAAAAACTGATATTTTCCAAAATAAGAAAGATGCTTTAAATGATATTACACATGTCAGAAGATGAAGAATTAAATTCTCTATTGAATGATTCATTGAACGCTTCCAGGATTCTGCGCAGTCAAATAAGAATTTGTATATGCAAGAGTAGACGTTGGTATGAAAAACTGAAGGCGAATGTCAATGTCCAGTTTTGTGCTTTTCAACTTTTTATCAGCTTCAACTGGCATATCCTGGCAAAAGTAAAAGATATATTTGGAACTCTCGTGAAAAACTGCATCAGTTGATGTATGTCGGAGGTCGCGATCCATTAGTATCTTATGAATTTTTACCAAGGATACGTCTTTTTGTGAGCTCTCTTTGACAGACCTGTAGAGCACTTTTTGTACTAAAATATAGACTATTTCAGGTTTCATATAGATGCACTTAAGATATGCTTTTTGTTCGGAAATATAGTTTATGCTATGTGGTCATGGTAAAAACTTCAGTCCGATTGGTCAAGTCCTTCCGGGTAAAATGCTGCTTTGAGAATAGGAAAATGCCTTTTGTCCTTTTTTCACAAAAAGCAGCTGAATATGTCTATATTCGAGAGACGTTTTTCCTAAAACTGTTGAACATGTTCCGTTTAATATTTCTTACTAATTATAGTTGAAATTACTTTGTCTTCCTGATGAACTTTTATTCAAATTAATAACACTTGTCTAGACGTTTCGATTGCGTGTGCAATCTTTGCAAATTCCAATTATACTAATGACAACTATAATTAGTAACTAGTTTATCCCACTTTGTCTTTTAATCTTATCATGTTTTCCTTTTTGAAGGATGCTAAACCAAAGGGCAAGCAGTAAGAACTTTAGTTAAAATAATAACAGAACATATGATAGTTAAAATATAAAAAGATATGGAAAGACTGTGAATGTTACGAAAGTCCTCTGGTACTTATTATGACAAATCAAAATTCATTTACCATGTGGATAAGAACTTTCTCACAACTTTAATGCAGAACAAAAGGATGATAGTAAAACTGGTAGACAGATGAAGTACACTATCTAGAATAGATTTGATTTCATCGTTAGTCATTGTGACGTACTGAGTTTAGTTTTTGAAATTAATAACAATTGTAAGAAAACCCCATACTATAGATAATGTTATAAATGGTTGAATAGCCAGACCATCACTTTTACCTGGTGTCGTCGCATTTTCAGTTGGTATAGGATTGCATAGATCAGTAGCACAACATTTTATATTCATATATATCGTCGGTTGAGACATCATTTCCTGACAGGTGGTATTTAAATTATAGGTGGATACCCATTTGATTGTTCCGGCTTGTTGTTCTTGAGATGTACAAGTTTGGTCATCTGCGGTGCACTGGAATTGATAAACTACACATTCCACTGTGCTGTTAGGATATGTACTAGGATCGACAACCGCAGTATTTCCGGGACTCCCTGTAGAATAACACGTCAGAGTGGTGAATAATGGAATGAGAGTGAAGAAAATCAATGCAGCATACAAGGACATCTATATGAAAACAAAAATGTAATAAAACACGCAGAACAATACTATATGAGAAACTATTCACTGTTTCATGCCGTACTCATTCAATGGCTTTCTCGTTCGTATGTCTGAGAATCCCATAATGTTCAGAAATTACCTTTATTCAGCTATGCTATGAAAAAACACACATGAAGAATAGGCTTGGACAAAATTTATTTTCTACAAGTAACCTTTCTGCTTGAATGATCCTCGCACCCATGTAATTTCAATATATTTGTCGAAGTATGCATTATGTTTCTTTTACCTTTAGCCATGGCTTATATTCAAAATGTATACATATATCTGCGGCCGTTATGGACACAAACTAACGGCATAGATGATGGTAGGGAAGTATAGGTAAATTAAAGATATTCAACAAAACGAGTGAATGGTGGAATGAAATGTGTAAAAGATAATCATTGAATGATGCGCTTGGGATACTAATATGAATAAAATTGACTTGCCATACGTGTACAATGAATAAAAAAATTATATATAATTATCAAATAGAACGAGCAGTACGATTGTTTATGTACATAGATTTTGCGCGGAGAGTGAATCTGACAGAAAAATATGAGAAAATATGATTCGAGTAAGAATTAAGTCAAAATGACATTGGATTTGATGCGAGAGAGATAGTTATTGAAGTGAGATAATAATTACTTCTGGATGAAGCAGAATGATTTTATGTGTAAAGTATATGATTCTACAAACGAAATGTATGGACGAGAACAACGTTGATGAACAACATATAAAATGATGTTATTTTTTGGGTAAATAGTAATAAATACTTCACGGTTTGTTTGAATAGCGACCATTGTCTATTGTCATTTGTGAATCGATTTAATCTGTCACAATAGCTTTAACGACTATCACAATATAAGTAATAAACTGTAGAATATCTTAGCTCATGTATACCGAATAAGAATTTTTCACACTTCAAAATGAGCTAGCTATAGCTAATACTTTCCAAAAGACGTCCATGGAACGTGATTCTACACCAGATTATTGCTATATACTGATCGTGACAGGACGAGAAACGATTTCTGATAGACAATGGCCCAATATGGATTTGAGTGAAAATGACCAGACATGTTTCCCTTTCCACTTCCCAACACTTCTGACTTCAGAAACTGCTCGAGATTACCTTGAAATAATTATTTCTTATCGGTTTTTGTCACCAGTTCGATGAAGGTCATTTCACTTTATTTTTTCAAATTTTTCATGTGATTTTAAAGACTTTGACTAGGCATAGAAAGATAAAGAATTTTTTGCGCTTCACAACGAGCTATTGACAAGCTTCGGAAAAATATGCCCACATAGTACAGTTGTCAAAATACTAAGCAGACAACATGGTTTTCACCTATCCTAATACTTCAAAGGAATACTTCTTTCACACATCTGCTCGGACTCGGGATGTTTTATTTATCGAAAGACAGAAAATTTTCTGGGCTTCAAAATGAATGACAATATTTTGCTTTAGAAGTGTGTCCTCATAAATTTATTATCTCCAGATTTAAATACTGGATAGAAATTTCGATTTTTATCCATAGTGATACATGAAAATAATCACAGTTTCTTTCACAAATAGAAATGAGGAATGGTTTGTATTTAGAGAAATGCAGAATTGAAAGAGTTACAAAATAAGCTATGTTACCTAGTTTCAAACTTTAAGTTGAATAGACTTATTGGCAAAATACTGAACAGATACAGTGGGTTTAACCTTTGACAGAACAGTGAATGAAATACAATGATGTAAATATAGACTTACATTCTAAAAGTTGAATACAATTTTTGTGAAGCTTTGTATCAAAAATTAAAACTCTGATTTAAATAAACACCGATTCGCCAAAATGGTCCAGGATCAGTTCGCATAGGTATTCCAATTACTTGACGAACAATAAACTATCCAAGTGTAAAATTATATATATCACTATATTCTCAGATATGCAACTACACACAGGTTTTAATCTACTCAAACTCATAAGGCCAATAATGATTCCATAGTCATAATATGTAAAGAAGAATATACTGAGGCTTTGTATTAGGTGACTGACAAGAAAGTATTTATAGTTCATGAACAACAAATTAAGAGTCATTAAGATAAATAGTTCAATTGTATTTTGCGCATTCTTCAAAATCTCTAGCATGTTTAACCACGCTAAAAAGCCTCATTTTCAATGTTATGACAGACTATTGTTGATGTTCACAGGGTTCNTGTATTTTGCGCATTCTTCAAAATCTCTAGCATGTTTAACCACGCTAAAAAGCCTCATTTTCAATGTTATGACAGACTATTGTTGATGTTCACAGGGTTCGTACTATCCACTTTAAAAAAGCAGGAACGAGAGAGGATTTTTTCCTACGAAAAACAGAAAAGTCAATAAATTTTTTGAGAAATACAGGCAATAAGCGAATACAGAAAAACGACAAGTGAGATTTATCACAATGTGTTAAATAACGTACTGGAGCGCATAAATTAAAAATTCACTTGACGATATTTAGGAAAGGATACCATTTGTTTTTTTTCGTCCGCTCACCATTAAATCATACGTGGAGATAGTACTCGTCAAGGCGCATCTAACGATATGTGTTTTGAGTCTAGGAAATCATTATATTAAAAGTTAAAAGAGGTCATTCAAAGTAATGTGAGAATGAAATAAATATTTCTTTTAGCAAGTGATGGAATTTCTTCTTTGACTCTACAATATTCTCAAACATCATTTGTCAAGAAAATGTCGGGCTCTCCTTAGGTTTATAGAGAAAAAAGGATAACATAGCGTAACTGAACATTTCCTCGATCTAACTTGTATAATGTTCAAATGGTTTTATTCCCAACGCTTTTGCATATTCTGGTCCATAATAAACAAATAATTCTTCTCCAGCCTCGATATCTCTTAATGTTTTATAATACATTTCTCCATTAAACTGAACAGCTATTAAATTTTCATTTTCTGGTTTATTTGGACAATTAACGTATCGCAACCAATTCGATCGTCGTGGATCCTTGGCATCAACGTAGTTGTAAATATTTCCCTCAATATCTTGAATTATCCACGAATAACCAGACTCATATGATCTGGCATCTGAACGATATCTCACACCTGTATACGGTCCAAAAAATGTATTTTTCTTAAATTTTTTTAATGCAAATACACCGAGACCAGCTTCAGGTATTCCGCTTGTTTTTACTATTATTCCAGTTGGTACCGTATGTTTGGCATAGTCGGACTGTTTAACCAATAGATGATACGGTACCTTTTATAAATGTATACTGTTCAACGCGATATTTAAGTATTAAGAAAAAAGGATTACCTCTCGATTATCGATATATGATTGGCAGCCGGATGAGCATAAACCATTACTATACTTTTTACATTCATCACAATCTTTAAGAAAAAAATACTATAGTTTGAGATTATTAAGATTTATAGTTATACCATTAAACCTACATAAATAATCTCCGAGTACACATGTTCCTGGTCTAACAATTCTGCTTCCAAAACTCTTCTTTGAAGAAATTGGATTTATCGTCATTCTGCGTGAGTTTCTTGATCGTCCAGTTACTTCTAAAATAAACATGAAAAGATCTCCGTTATGAGCTTCACCATACTATTATCAGTTTGAACCATTAC